AAAAAATATTGAGAAATAGGGTAAAATTATAATGAATAAGGAATCAAGTGAAAAGGAGTAAGAAAGAATCTGCAGGTCAGTATATTCAGGATCTTGTTTTAAATATATAATAATATAATATATATATATATATATATATATATATATATATATATATATATATATATATATATATATATATATATATATATATATAAGCACACAAGTGCCCATTTATCAGCAAAACGGATCTTTGAGAATATATTTGGATTGAATGTAAAAGGAGAGCAAATGAAAGAGTGGGTCAGATGCTGTTAATACATCTCAGGTCATCCGTGGAAACTCATTTACACCAGTTTATCTATTCAAGAAAATCTGGCTGATAAAGACAATAAAATAAAGGCAGAAGTTATCAGTACTTCGGTTCAGATTGCAGCTTCAGGAGAAGTGAGGTATAGTTCATTACCTCTTCCCATAATCTTTCGTATTTACTCATCATTCCCAGAAACCACTACAATTACTTTCAATAATACTGCAATCACACTGCACGCTCCAGAAACTGCTATTTTTACGTTGTCTACCGCAGAATCTATAACTACTACTCCGACAACGACATTCACTTTTACAACGATCATACCGTCAAATACTGTTTCGAACACAGTCAATTTGCTACCGAGAGCGCAATGTCAGACACTAATACAGAGAGCACATCACATACAGGTGAGAACACGTCAGCTTTTACTAAGAACAGGTGAAATTCTACTGAGAAGACATCAAATTCTGCGGAGGACACGTCAGATTCTACTTAAAAGATGTTAGACACTGCTGACAACACTTAAACACTACTAATAACTCCACAGACACTACTGACAGCACATCAGACGCTACTGACAACATTTCAGACACCCCTAACAGCATACCATTAACGACTACCAACACGTTACTGCCTGGATCTGGATAAGCACATCTGCTTCCTGGGTGAGAAGGACTACCTGCATAATTTCTCTATCTAATACTAGTATGCAGAGAACAAGTACAGCTTCAACAAGGACAGCTACTGTGTTTGGCACAAGGACCATTAAGTACTTCTACGTGGATGATTATATCAGTACCTTCAAGCACTGTTTACACAAATCTTTTCGTGATAAACACCACAAATGTTTAAGTTTAACAGTAAAGACGCCCACGCACCGGTCAAGACTTTTAATAAGCGAGCGTTTAGCTGTAAGTGGCTTCATCGCCATTGGTGGCGAAACGTTTCGCTTTTGTTTTTACCTACAGCGTATCGTTATGGCTATATCAGTTTCACCCAAAATTTTTAAAGGGGTGGACCGGTAAGCCAGCGGAATATCTCGGTCAGATGACTAAAAGCTCCAATGGCGGGTCATCATGTGACTAAGACCCGCGTCAGGAACCAATTGTCCTGTTTCCTGACGAACCTAACCTAACCTAACCTAAAAGTTAAACAAATTAAAATTGATTACTACAACAGATTAATGAATATCATAGCCAGAAATACATTAACAACAGTTAAGACAGCAAGAGAATACAACCATCTTGAATACTCAAAAAATACAACCATCATGGAAACTACAACCAATACAACAACCTTGTATACCACAACTAATACAATCATATAAAACGATGCAACTACATCAAATACAAGAACAATGAGCTTAGCTGCTGCATCAACTACGAAAAGCTTACTGTAGGAAAAAGGAAGAGAAATACAGGCATTTGCATATACGGCAGATGTACCGATGATCCAGTGAATAATATTCTAACGGATACAGCGAAGTATTACCCAGCAATACTTTTTTGAAAGTAATACTTTAGGTTTCCGAAACTATTAATAACGACAAGATAAGTAGCAGTCTTAAGAATTACAGCAAAACGTAATATGAACGTAAGAAATTCAGAATATGTAATATTGACTGATATATTGCAACACTTACTTGCAACAATGACATGTGAAGTATCAGTTACTTTTGGTTTCTGCCTCGGTTTTTTTCAATGTTATTCTTTGTTACTTGTTGTTAACAATTGTTAACGAGTATTTCATGTTTATTTGTTGCTGGATTATGTATTTGCATGTTTTTTTTAAATTACTCTACTTGATTTATATCTCAAAATTCACTTGGTATTTTTTCTTAATCTAATTTTTTAAAGGTTTATGTTTTTGGTTTAAATGTTTATTCGAAGTTAATTTATTTTCAGTGTGAGGGTTGACTTAATTATTTCCAGTGTTGTTGAGTGATGACTTTGATAATAATTATAAATTCTTCTGAACTATTAAAAAATCAGTAAAGACCTAATGTTTAATTTGCTTCCTAATAATTTACTGGGATGTCTGTTTACTTGAGTTGTAATAGATGAGCTCTGGTTCTTGGACCGGCATTTTAACTCTTAATTGACTGACGTGAATTAACTTTTATAATACTGATCTTGAAGCTTCTGCTGCGTCAGATTGTTTATGAGTCTTATGGTAAGTTGATCATATGAGAAATTATCAGTTATTCATAAAGTTTATGTTATGTTTCTTTAATCTGTTAAGATGCAATAGTTTACATTACTTTGTCCCTCTTCCAAACGTTCAACAAGAGTAGTTTACACAGCGGGTTCATTCCCACTAAGTTTACATCCCCACCATACATGTCAGGAATTATCTCATTCCTGTGTTCTCACACTTCTTCATTACAGTCTCTCATTTTCATTGCTAATAGGTAACAGAACGTCAATAGACGAATTTTTTTTTTTTGGGGGGGGGGGGATGGGAGTAATGGAGAGACGCTAATCAACTTGTGTTACGTACAAGTAACCTCTGACAGCGTGGCTATGTTCTCTCCACCTCTCTACATCACCACACTTGCCACAGGTGAAAACCGTATAACCTGAATAATGATATATACACGTGTCCTGCCTTGCTGGTTATCCTGCACCGAAATTAATGTGCAGCGATATGGGGACGTATACACAGAGGAAGAACATAGCACCTGGTAGGTCTTTGACCTCTGTGTGCTGCAACGCATATACATGTGGGTAGCAATACAGTAAGAGGAAACGGAAAAGGAGGAGTAGGGATTTTGAGAGTGCAAGAGTTATGAATAAAAAGGAAATGAAGGAGGGGAGGTGAACATAATATATTACTCGCTTCCCCTTGCTGCCAGAGTTGGATTAAATTTTTTTAGGCCCGTACGTTACAGTTACTCTGGGAACCCCTGTGATATTTTGTAGGCCCCTGGGCTACAGTTACTCCGGGAACCCCTGTCATATTTTCAAAAGGAAAAAAGTTAAGGGAATATTAAATTTGTTTTGACAAGGTTAATCACAATTAAAATTCAAACATTTACTTTGTGTAATTTCTTGGGAACAAATTTCTCCCAGATATCAGTAAATTGTAAGTTGTTGATAACATCTCTGGAGGCCCTCCAGCTGGTGGTGGCCCTCCAGCTGGTGGTGGCCCTCCAGCTGGTGGTGGCCCTCCAGCTGGTGGTGGCCCTCCAGCTGGTGGTGGCCCTCCAGCTGGTGGAGGCCCTCCAGCTGGTGGAGGCCCTCCAGCTGGTGGTGGCCCTCCAGCTGGTGGTGGCCCTCCAGCTGGTGGAGGCCCTCCAGCTGGTGGTGGCCTCCAGCTGGTGGAGGCCCTCCAGCTGGTGGGCTGCTGGTGGACCCTCCAGCTGGTGGTGGCCCTCAGCTGGTGGTGGCCCTCCAGCTGGTGGTGCCCTCCAGCTGGTGGTGGCCCTCCAGCTGGTGGTGGCCCTCCAGCTGGTGGAGGCCCTCCAGCTGGGTGGTAGGCCCTCCAGCTGGTTTTGTGGAGGCCCTCCAGCTGGTGGTGGCCCTCCAGCTGGTGGAGGCCCTCCAGCTGGTGGAGGCCCTCCAGAGCCTCCGTGGTGGTCCTCCAGCTGGTGGAGGCCCTCCAGCTGGTGGTGGCCCTCCAGCTGGTGGTGGCCCTCCAGTGGTGGGGTTGCCCTCCAGCTGGTGGAGGCCCTCCAGCTGGTGGTGGCCCTCCAGCTGATGGTGGCCCTCCAGCTGGTGGTGGCCCTCCAGCTGGTGGTGGCCCTCCAGCTGGTGGTGGCCCTCCAGCTGGTGGAGGCCCTCCAGCTGGTGGTGGCCCTCCAGCTGGTGGTGGCCCTCCAGCTGGTGGAGGCCCTCCAGCTGGCGGAGGCCCCTAAAGATCATGCCTTAATCCTGCTCTGTATCTTGTGTCTGCTGCAAATATTGTCGGAGAGTTCATTAGGATGGGATGGGGCTCTTTTGGCTATATTAGTCACCATATATTTATATTAGTCAGGCATATACTTCCCGATGGATCCTCAGGAATATGATTGATGAAAGGAACAGACGACTCCTGCTCCTTGCAGTAGAAATATAATCTTAATTTTCAAAGGGGTTGACCGGTAATCCAGCGAATGCCTCGGTCAAATGACCAACAGCTCCAGTGGCAGGTCATCATATGACTAAGACTAACGACAGGAAACAACTGTCTTGTCGAGTCTTACTGGTATTATCTTTATGTTCCTATGGAAACACTAATCCCATAAAGATGTCCTGTTTCCTTCTTATATTTCCTGTCCTCTTCTAAGTGAGATAAAGGATATTAATTCCTTTAGTCATAGGAATTTACTTTTTTTTTTTTTTGCTGTGCCTAGTTTAAACCAGCTTCGATAAAAGCCTAAGTATTTTTTTAAATTGTATTTATATAATTTTTCCTGAACCATTTAGTATATTGTTAAGTTTTTCTACAAAGGGATTTCTCTTTATGTTACCGTGTATTTATAACTATGTTCTACGATCCGTCTTTTCAGCCAATACGCCTTTCCCATCCGCCTAGAGACTTAGATAAATATATTAACATGACATCAACATGTTGGCAAAGACAAACATAAATGGTGTGTATAGAATAAATGCATCGTATTGCTGAGGGCAATGTTCTATGTACACCTGCATCACAGGTGGTTGCAGGCATGTAGAATGCTTATAAAACATCAGATGTTTCTGGACAAAGAAAAACAGGCCACCAGACGTCTCCGGTCGCTGATCAGAAGAGGTTACGAGAATTGTAGGACCTCAAATACTTACACCACGAAGTCAGTGTTCATCGATGGTTACTCCTTGACACAGAACAATGTCAGAAACCTCAGCTGTTGTTGGTGTTAGGAGTCTGTGAAATAAGCAACAGCAGCAGCAACAGTATCAATACGGACAAGAGTTACTTCAGCCCTGCAGGGCCTGATAATTTACTCCATCATGAAGGTTCTTGTTGCAGCTTTTCTCTGCTGCATCTTTCTGGCGTTGCAGGTAAGTAACCTCTCTGGTACTGGCACATACACTTTAAATTTTAACATGTTTCTTTTGTTCGTCTGCAAGATTTTTTTTCTTGCAGACCATAGCGAAATGTTAGGTAATAAGTTTATTATATTTGAGCCTACCAACTGAACTTTGGTTAAGGCAAAAATTAGCCTGCTCGCTAATTTTCTACATATTAAAAATATTGTATATCTGTATAAAAGGCATTAGAGTAAACATTTAGTGAACATACACGAACATAACACATTCTTCGTTTACATAACTTGTCTAAAAGGTGAAATCTTTAAAGCTATGTGAGAAGTTCTTAACATAGTGTACTCTAGACTCTCAGATTAAGAGGAGTTATTAAGTCCTGGTTTACTCTGCTCTATATACAAACTTTCCAGAAAACTTAAATTTAATTTGTCCTTTGTCTTAGCTATAATTTTAAAATGATTAGTCTCAAGATAAAGTGTGGTTACTGAAAAGAGTCTAGCTAGCCTAGCAATGATCCTGTATGACAGCCTTTCATATTCTTAATAATTTTAGATACCAGGATCATGTTGCATCATCCTTGCACTCACATTATATTTAAGATATATAGCAAGGTATCATCTTAGAATACTACTAGATAGTGATTCTTAGTTTATAAATGGAGTGGTAAGCCAGTGGACTCGCCTAGTCACATAACAGCAAATGCTGGTATTGTTTACGGAAGAATAAACTGCTACCACCTTATCCCTTGTACTCATATATAATCTATCAGACTTTTCTAAACTGTAATTATGTTGCAATACTAGATTTATTGCAAACCGTTTTTTTTTATCAATCAAGAATCTACATATATTAGCCTAAAGTAACTGACTCCTTATTTACTGAATATATTTATTCTCACTTTGAATAAAGAAAAGTAATTAATTACAATCTTTGAATAACTCAGGAAAACGTCGTTGGTCAACGGACGTATCAGAGAGTCAAAAGGAAAGAGGTGTAAAAACCAAGAGGATCACTGTAAACTCTGACAGTGAATCCAAAATGACTGTCGGGGACCGGAGCGTTGATGGTGGAACACAACTTTCTAACAGGAATAGTGGTAATGCTAAACAAATGAAAAGTGAGACCAAGACCCAGGTCAGAAGTGGAAAGAGTAGCGGTAGACAAAATTGGAATAGAAGCAGCAAGAGACAAGGGACAAAACGACGCCCAGCCAATCACAACAGCAGGCTTGTCAAGAACCAGGATAGGCACAGACGTGTCAAGAACCTGGATGGGTTTAGACGTGTCAGGAAAGGAAAGACAAGAAGAAAGAAAATTAGCAAAACTCGCGGGATCAACAAGAAAACAGAGAGCAGTCGTGATAGCAAAGGCAAGAAATATCGCAATGCCAAGGAGGAAGAGACCGATAACAGAGCCAAGAACAAAAGGAGCCATCGCAATGGTATTGAAGGTGGAGATAAGATCTCGGAAAAGAATTCTCCAAATAACCAGAAAACCGCCAAAGGACACAAGAAAAGAAGATATCCGAAAAAGATAAATTATAAAACACAAGATCGCAACTCAAGAAAAAAAATATTTAGGCAGCTGAAGGCTAAGAAGAAGAGAAAAGGAAAAAAACAACCCAGAAATCTCAAAGAATACAAATTAAACCCAAAATTCTCAAAGAAGGAGTCGCCTAAATTACAAAGAAAAGTATCTGATGTAGAGAGAAAACAGAAATCAACTAAATGGAAGAAACAGAAGTTAACTAAAAGGAACAAACAGAAATCATCCGAAAGAAAAAAGCAAAAGGCAGCTCCAATGAAAAAACAGAAAGTAACAAAACAAAAGAAAGAAAAATCAGCTAGAGGGAAAAAACTGAAGTTCGCAAAAAGGAAGAAACAAGAGTCAACTAAAGGGACGAAATGGAAGCAACAGAAATTACCTATAGAGAAGAAACAGAAGTCAAACAACAGAAAGTCACAGAAGTTAGGCAACAGAGAGACACAGAAGCCAACTACAAGAAGGAAACAGAAAGAAGCTAAAGGGAAGGTAATTAAACTGAACAAACAAAAGTCAGATAAAGGGAAAAGACGAAAGGCAGGAATTGGGGAAAAACGTAAGTCAGCGTCCAGGAAGAAGGAAAAGACAGCTAGAGGGAAGAACAAAAAGGGAAAAACAAAGAAGAGCAAAGATAAAAAACATAGACATAGGAAAAAGGACGAGAAAAAGAAATTGAAGAAAAACAGGAATAAGAACAAGCACAAAGTACGGAAGGGTGGAAGTCGACAATCCAAAAAAAATAAAAACAAAAAAGGCAATCGAAAGAGTGAAAAATATATGAAGAAAACGAGTAAATTTAAGAAAAGTAAACATAAAAAGAGTAGGAAAATGAACAAAAAACAAAATAAAAATAAAAAAAAAGGATGGTAAGCTAAAAAAAGGAAATAAAAAGAAGAGGCCACACGGTAGCGGGGAGAATCATCATCGTCCTCCATACGGTAGCGGGGAGAATCATCATCGTCCTCCACACGGTAGCGGTGAGAAGGGACGTTGCAAAACAACCAAAAAATGCATGAAAAGTGGCGGGAAGTGCACTTCTGAAAAAAAGTGCAAGACTAAGGCTGTGACTGGGAAGTGCAAAGGAAAGTCTTGCCACTGTTGTCTCTCTGGTAAGTGTTACTCAAGCATCATTAGAACAATACAGCAGTAGTTCCTTTCTGCTGGTGGTAGTTCCCTTCTCGCCCTCTCTGTTGTCTCTGAATGTTTGCACACACTCTTATATAAAGACTGTGTCCGTATAAGTATGCTATTGACTTTTAATAGAGCCTTTCTTCCTAACAGTTTGCGCAGCTAAACCAAAAAAGAAATGCACTAAACACAAGGGTGTGTGTAAGACAAAGTGCGACGTGAAGGAGCGACAGATCCCCAAGGGTTGCATGAAGAAAACTTGTGTCTGCTGTGCCAAGGCTTGCAAGCCCACGACGCAGTGTACTGCTGGTGGTGGTTATTGTGTAGATAAGAAGAAGTCTTGTAAGGGATGGGTCGACAAGGATGACTGCAAGGGAGCCAAGTGCTTCTGTTGTTATCCAGGTAAGACTTTCAATACTATTTCTTTTCATTATAATGGAGCATATATGAGCACATATAGAACGGTGTCAGGGTTACTGAGGTTATATTGTGGCGAAGACTTAGTTTAGAAGGAAGTTCGATCATGATGTCTGCTTTGAGACAAAATGTTTATGTGAAGCCAATAATTTTATTCTTGTGGTCCTACAACTTCTCCCCCCCCCCCCTTCTCCAACAAACGCACACATATCTGACTATCTGTCTATCTGCGTGTGTATGTATGTGTACGTGTGTGTGTTATAACAAACACGCGTACGTGTTTGTTGTAAGACATAAACATCTGGTCACAACATAACAAAATGATACAAATATTCCTTTCAAAGGATATTCCTTTACCCAGAACATTTTACACACTAATAATTAAACCCATTGAAAATAAATTCCTCTCTAGAGAAAGTTTCCTTAATATAACCTACTCCCGCCCATCTAGTTATTAATAACAAAAATACCGGAATTTAGAAACCGTCCTTCGCTCCGAAAAAGGGTAGCCTCCTGCTCTTGTAAAAATGTAAATAAACAATGGTAGAGATTGACAAAGGACAGTTTTGTGCAGGTCGAGGCATTTATTAGAGGCGATATTTTCTTTCAGGGATAATATTTGTCCCACCTGTGAAGGACCTGCCTAGTATGGGCCAATAGGCCTGCTGCAGTGTTCCTCCTTTCTTATGTTCTTATGTTCTTATATATTTTATTTTATTTTATTGTTTTATTTGCACTTGTGAAATAGCCTACTAATACACTACGTGATTTTTAGTGACGACGGCAAAAAAGACAACGAGTACCACAACTACGACTACCACAACTCCGAATACCACAACTACGACTACCACAACTCCGAATACCACAACTACGACTACCACAACTCCGAATACCACAACTACGACTACCACAACTCCGAATACCACAACTACAACTACCACAACTCTGAATACTACAACTACGTCTACCACAACTCAGAATACCACAACTACGACTACCACAACTCAGAATACCACAACTACAACTGCGAATACCACTACTACATCAACGACTACCACAACCACAAGAACGACTTACAACTTCTATAAGTACCACGACTACAACTACCACAACAACGACTTCAGCTTCTATAAGTCCCACAACTACAACTACAGCATCAACAGTTACTACAACAAGCACGAGTTTCACAACCACAATAACAAGTACCACCACAATTGCAACAACGTCAGTAACAACTACTTCAACCAGCACATCTACTACCACTTCAGTGAGCACTACACCTACTACTACAACCAGCAATATAACTACTACCACTTCAACCAGTGCCTCAACTTCTACAAGCAACACCTCAACTACTACTTCAACCACCACTTCAACAACTACTTCAACCAGCACGTCAACCACTAATTCCACCAGTACCACAACTACAACTACTACTTCAACCAGCACCTCCACTACAACGTCAACCAGCACTTCAACAACTACTTCAACCAGCACTTCGACTACTACTTCAACCAGCACTTCAACTACTACGTCAACCAGCACTTCAACAACTACTTCAACCAGCACTTCGACTACTACGTCGACCAGCACTTCAACAACTACTTCAACCAGCACTTCGACTACTACGTCAACCAGCACATCAACAACTACTTCAACCAGCACTTCGACTACTACGTCAACCAGCACATCAACAACTACTTCAACCAGCACATCAACAACTACTTCAACCAGCACTTCAACAACTACTTCAACCAGCACTTCGACTACTACGTCGACCAGCACTTCGACTACTACGTCGACCAGCACTTCAACTACTACGTCTACGACTACTACTACTACATGTGTTGGACCTTTATGTCCCTTAATTACTATTCTCAGACAACTCCTTCAAGTAATTACTGCCTTGAACAGTGCAATTGTTGCAATTCAGACGCTTGTAACTCAACTTGCAGCGCTCTTGACCGCCCTTGCTAATGCATTAGGGGGGAGAAGAAAACGTCGTGCAATATCTGATAACATTCTAAGTATTAGGAACGTCATAGAAGATTTTCCAGCTGCAGCTTATGACAGGAACTCAGCTATCATAAATTCACTGACGTTACAAGTGATTAGTGCAACACAGAGTATGCCAGATATAGTAACCTCGGTAATTAATGGGACGACGCCAGCCACTAGTGGACTCATCTCAGCTACTCAGCAAGTTTATTGCATCTGTCAATCCGTTCTAATCACTCTCATTAATGAAAACTCTCTTATATGGGGTGAAGCCACCAGTGTATCAAGTCAAATTCAAGGGTTGGGAGGGACGACAACGCAGATACCAAGTGCTGTGTCGTTTAGTGTGACGCCGTGTTCGTCAACTACCACGTCAACAAGCATGTCAACTTCTACTTCAGTTATCCCGACTACTACAAATTCGTTAAGCACAACTACAGCTTCGACAAGTACGGCAACTACAACTACGATAACCACGACAACTACAACTTCGACCAGCACCACTACTATTACTACTACTACATCGACGAGCACCACTACATGCTCTGGGAGCCTGTGTCTCATAATTGCTAGTCTTAACCAACTAATCCAAGTCATTACAGCCTTGAATAACGCTGTTTTGTCAATCCAGAGTTTTGGAACTCAACTTTCAGCGCTGCTAACCGCTCTCGTTAATGCACTGGGGAAGAAAAGAAAACGTCGGGCAATACCCGATGATATCCTTAATACTGGAAGTATCATACGGAGTTTTCCTGCTGCAGCTTATGATACAAACCCAGATATCATAAACTCACTGACGTTACGAGTGAATAATGAAGCACAAAAAATGCCAGACATAATAGCCTCTGTAATAAATGGCTCTACATCAGCCACTAGTGGACTGATTTCAGCGCTGAGCAAGTTCTTTGCACCTGTGAAACTATACTGGACACTCTAGTCACTGAGAATAAAAATATATGGGCAGAATCTAATAGTCTTTCAATGCAAATTATAGCATTAGGAGGGACCCCGACCCAGATACCAAAAGTTGTCATATTCACCTTGACACTGTGTCCGACAACAACCATATCGACGGCCACTCCAGCAGGTACCACGACAGTGGTCACAGGTGCTATTCAGACAAGTATGGCAGCACCTGCTTCGACGAGCACGTTAACATCTACAACTAGTACATCAACAACTACAACAAGTACATCAAAAACTACACCAAGTACATCAACAACTACAACAAGTACATCAAAAACTACACCAAGTACATCAACAACTACAACGAGCACACCAACAACAACTACAACGAGCACAACAACAACTACAACGAGCACACCAACAACAACTACAACGAGCACAACAACAACAACTACAACGAGCACAACAACAACAACTACAACGAGCACACCAACAACAACTACATCGAGCACAACACAACAACTACACGAGCACACCAACAACAACTACAACGAGACAACAACAACTACAACGAGCACAACAACAACAACTACAACGAGCACACCAACAACAACTACAACGAGCACACCAACAACAAGTACATCAACATCTACATCGAGCACATCAGCAAGTACATCAACAACTACAACAAGTATATCAACAACTACAACAAGTACATCAACAACTACAACAAGCATATCAACAACTACAACGTGTTCTTCAGCATGTTTAGCTAATGTTCTCAATACATTAAATCAACTCGTCACTGCCGTGAACAATGCTACAACTCAAATCCAGACTATTACTACTCTACTACAGTCACTTCTCAGAGCCTTACAAGGAAGACGTAAAAGACGGAGGAAAAGATACAGTGAATTCGATGTTCTCACTACCATTGGAAATTGCATGCAAAATATTTCGGCTGCTATACAGAACAAAGACATTAAAGAACTGTCTAACATGATAGCACAAATGTATATCCATCAACAAACAATATCTGACATAACAAAATCTGTACAAAACGGGTCTTTGGTAATCAATGGTACTTTCAAATCATCTGTAGAAGCGCTTTTTTACGAAAGTGTTAATAGACAAAGAGTGTGGAAGATGCAAACAGTAGGTTAAGGAAAGAAGCCATCAGTATTTCAATTCAGATTGCAGCGTTAGGAGAAACCACACCTTATATACCAGACATTGTGACGTACAGTTTAGTACCTCTTCCAGTAACCTCACCTACTGACATATCTTTCCCACAAACCACTACTATTGTTTTCACCAATAAGGAAAATACTACTGTCACACTGCTCACTCCAGAATCTACTACAATTACTTTAACCCCTCAAGAAACTACTACTACTACTACTACTACTACTACTACTACTACTACTACTACTACTACTACTACTAAAGGCCACTACTACAGCGATCACATCAATAAGCATTATTTCGGACACACAGTCATTTTCTACCGAGAACACAATGTCAGGCACTGCTACCGAGAACACGTCACATACAAGTGAGAACACGTCAGCCGCTACTGAAAACACGTCAGAAACTACAGAGAGCACATTAACTGACACAACTGAGAACATGATGTCTACTACTACTGAGAACACGATGTCTGTTACTACTGAGAACACGATGTCTGTTACTACTGAGAACACGATGTCTGTTACTACTGAGAACACGATGTCTGTTACTACTGAGAACACGATGTCTGTTACTACTGAGAACACATCGAACACTACTGACAGCACATCAACACTGCAGCACACAGACACTACTGACAGCACATCAGACACTGACAGCACATCAGACACTACTGACAGCACATCAGACATTACTGACAGCACATCAGACACTACTGACAGCACATCAGACACTACTGACAGCACATCAGACACTACTGACAGCACATCAGACACTACTGACAGCACATCAGACACTACTGACAGCACATCAGACATTACTGACAGCACATCAGACACTACTGACAGCACATCAGACATTACTGACAGCACATCAGATACTACTGACAGCACATCAGACATACCGACCAGCACATCAGACACTACTGACAGCACATCAGACATTACTGACAGCACATCAGACACTACTGACAGCACATCAGACACTACTGACAGCACATCAGACACTACTGACAGCACATTAGACACTACTGACAGCACATCAGACACTACTGACAGCACATCAACATTACTGACAGCACATCAGACATACTGACAGCACATCAGACAGTACTGACAGCACATTAGACACTACTGACAGCACATCAGACATTACTGACAGCACATCAGACACTACTGACAGCACATCAGACACTACTGACAGCACATTAGACACTACTGACAGCACATCAGACACTACTGACAGCACATTAGACACTACTGGCAGCACATTAGACACTACTGACAGCACATCAGACACTACTGCAGCACATTAGACACTACTGGCAGCCACAGACACTACTGACAGCACATCAGGACACTACTGACAGCACATAGACACTACTGGCACATCAGACACTACTGACAGCACATCAGACACTACTGACAGCACATTAGACACTACTGGCAGCACATCAGACACTACTGACAGCACATTAGACACTACTGGCAGCACATCAGACACTACTGACAGCACATCAGACACTACTGACAGCACATTAGACACTACTGGCAGCACATCAGACACTACTGGCAGCACATTAGACACTACTGGCAGCACATCAGACACTACTGACAGCACATCAGACACTACTGACAGCACATTAGACACTACTGGCAGCACATCAGACACTACTGACAGCACATTAGACACTACTGGCAGCACATCAGACACTACTGACAGCACATCAGACACTACTGACAGCACATCAGACACTACTGACAGCACATTAGACACTACTGACAGCACATCAGATACTACTGACAGCACATCAGATACTACTGGCAGCACATCAGACACTACTGACAGCACATCAGACACTACTGACAGCACATCAGACACTACTGACAGCACATCAGACACTACTGACAGCACATCAGACACTACTGACAGCACATCAGACAGTATTGAGAGCACATCAGACAGTATTGAGAGCACATCAGACACTACTGACAGCACATCAGACACTACTGACAGCACATCAGACACTACTGACAGCACATCAGACACTACTGCCAGCTCATAACTATTTAAACGTTATCGGCTGAGTCTGGACGAGTGTATCGGTACGACTATTTTACGACTGTACTAATAAAAACTAGTTACTACATTATAGCAGCAAAATACATTAACAGCAGTTGAGGAAGCAAGAGAATACAATCATCTTGAATACTTAAAAAGTACAATCATTTTGAATACTTAACAATTACAACCATCTTGAATACTTGACAATCATCATGAATACTTAAAAATTACAACCTTGATTACTTAAAAAA